GTTTTTCAAGGACGTGGGTATGGCCTCAAAACTTAGACGGTAGATACTCTCATGTTTGCTTTACCAGAAAATAAGGAATTTTCTTCATTTTCATTATGTTATTATCAGTTTATATATGTATATAGATTTTTTGTAGGAACAGTTATCCAATTGCTTATAGCAAAGAAAAAAAATTCCTTATTTTTCTGGTAAAGCAAGCATGAGAGTATCTACCGTCTAAGTTTTGAGGCCATACCCACGTCCTTGAAAAGCCTTAAGTCTCCGACCACCCCTTAAAATTTTCGTTAATCATAATTCCGTAACAAACCATCAGATTTTTATGAAACTTTAGCCGTAGTTTGCGCTTGTAATAAGCTATATTTCTGCAAAATTTCAACTTAGATTAATTGTAAACGGTTAGGTTTACATATACCTAATACCCGACGTTACTCGACTAAAAATGTGAAAAATTAAGTTTCTCTATGTTGTATGTCAATTTAGAATTTATGTCAATCTAGAATCAATGCGATACGTTCCTCAACTTAAATAACGATATAGTAAATGCAATCGCTTTTTCCAATTTATGCATCTAATCGTACGATGGTTTGCATTGAAATTATTGGTCCAAGTGTTAACATATAGTAGAATGTATTTTAATGTTTGCATTCAAATTCGTATGATGATTTGCATTGAAATTATTGGTTGAATTATTGGCTAAAATCCATCGTACGATGATTTGCATTGAAATTATTGGTTGATTATTGGATAAGAATCCCATCGATGACTTGCATCAAATTGTTGGAATATGGTTAGACTGTAAATGTTGATCTGATCGTATAATCATCGATATTAGATTACATTTACACTAATAATGCATACGAATGCTCCGATACTTGACATCAGTTTCAAATGCTAAATTCAGACATAATTCATATTTCGATAGTTGAAGACATTGGCCTCTACACTAATGATGACACACATCGGGCAAGTCGTCGCATGAATAGATTGTCAGAATAAGGAGAGGATAGTGTAAGATAGCGATAAATAAGTAAAAAAAGGAAATAATATTTTCTTGCAGGTAGATACCTAAACATAGATGCAATTTAAATATGGCATAACCATATTTCTTACAAGTTTGTAAAGCTAGTTTGTCTTCAGTATTTTAACTATAGAACTGCATGAAATAAATTGTAATAGCACATAAAGATATGTACCTAATAATGTAATATATTATTCGAATCTAATAAACTTATCGTCGAAAATTGATACGCTATATTTGTCAGAGAGTGGGTTGCCGGGGGAAAACCCCAAATGGCTCTAAAAAATTTGTTGCGAGCAAAAAGTTCAGATTGTAACAAGCTCACTCACTTATATTTGCTATGCTGAAACAAATCAGCGTTTGATATGAGAAGCATGAAATTGAGTATATGATACATTATGGTTAACACATACTATAGTCTTGATAATAAATAATAAAATACATTGCCTTCATTGATTATTCCAATTTGACATATGTCAATTCTAGATTGAGATAAATTCCAAATTGACATATGTCAATTCTAGATTGACATAATTCTAGATTGACATAAATTCCAAATTGACATACAACAATAGAGATGGGCAGACACTAGAAGCCAAGGTGTGATCGTAAATGGAAGGCTGAAAGTCGTGAAGAGAAGGAGGCCGTATGAAAGGAGGAATTCTTAAAGTCGGTATGCAGCGCAAATAAAGTGACAGCGGTTGATTGACTTGTAGAACAGAATACAGCTCTGAAAGAAGAGGATACTGCTCTGAGAAGTTCATCTGGTTGAAGAAGCGTCAGGAAAAGTCCGACGAGTTTAAGTTAAGGAGGAGACAGTCAATGTTCGCTCCTTTTTTAGCAAATTATTATCAGGCTCATTCAATAGGTTTGAATTATCCATGCACGAATACTCCAAGTCCGTGACCAAGTTGAAAAGCCTTTACAGGACGTTTTCACCAAACAGATCTGGGATTGTATCGATTGGATAGTGAAATGTGTATCCAACAAATGGTGTATTCTTCGGCGATGAAAAGATGTCACCTGACATTTGCTCTCACTTCTGCTTCTTTTGCTTCTTCTTTGTGCCCATCTTGTAAATTCCTGGTATTACTATCAGTCTCTTCGCCACTACCTCTTTGTACATTTCATTTACAAGACAAAGTTTTTTTTGGCACCCAAGTCTCATCAACATAGACGAGCAAATTTCAGGACTCTCAAAGTATTTCTTGAGACCTTCCATTAACTCGTAAATTTTGATATATGCAAAGACAAATACAATGTTCAATTTTTTCCTGATCTAGTTATGATAACAATAATGCGTTTAGGTAAGATGTCCACACACGGATTTGTATGTAATGTAACTATTAATAATAACTACATTATGTTAAAGAAGTAATTCCAACATATTTATTAGTGTCACAGCATGATTGATACCTTTGAATCTTTATGGCCGCAGAGAAAAATATGTCATTCGGACAAGTCTTTGATGTGCTGATGCGGCTCACATTGCTTAAGACTCTTGGTTTGACATCATTGTATTGATCGGTTCGGTGCTAATAATAAAAGACATGAGTAAACCGCGTCATTGTAGTCAAGAACCAATGAGAACGTTCACAGCCGGCTCAAATTACCAAAGTCAAGGTTGGGGTACCTGACGGGGTAATCTTCGCGTGCCGTGGACACGGAGCGCCTTCAATCAGTGGTCCATGTATCCTGTTCACCACAGGCCCAAGCTAATAGGCTTTTCGGAGCGGATATTGAACGTTCACAACAAGTAAATCATTTACAATCAGGCCCCCAGACGACAGGGCTTTTCTTAAGCTCGAGCGAACGCATCCTATTCACCACAAAAGCTGAATGTTACATAGCCTTTTTTCGGTAACGAGTTTTGATTAATTTACACTTTCGTGCCTCGATTTACACCTAGTGGCAGGGTAATAATAAATTTATTGAAATACAATACCGCAATTTGTTCGCTTTTTTAGTCAATAATTGGATGACTGTTATTTTACTGTTACGGACTCAATCATGTTTATTATATTTTTTCTACAATTAGTATAATCACTGTTATGTAATATTTTGAATGTCAATCATAATAAATTATAGTAATAGTCAAATGTCAATGAAAATAGACAAATTAATAGTCACACGGTCCCATTTCACAATTCAGACCATTTCAAATTGTGTTAAGTTAGCGAGAGACAATTTTACAGAATGTGTCTCCGAAATATTTTGATTATTCCTGAGTCGTACATTGAAAGAGGCATTTTTGTTGTCAACACAATCACATTAATTGATGCAGCGTGACTTACTCGATGCACACTACAAAGAGTGATTGTATTATTAAGTGGTAGACACAATAAACTGCGTGTTTAACTCTGCGTTGACCAATTATAATACTGGGTTGTATTGCTTTAAATGTTCGTCATTGTGAATGCGTCGGCAACACAGTGTAAATTTCTTATTCCAATTTTTTTTATTCTTTTTGCATTTGTTCGACAAAAACTCTGTTAAATTGTTTGCTCTAAAAAGGGAATTGTCGAATTGTTCTTCTTGATCTAATTGCTGATCAAGCTATTTGTCTACCGCTAATATCATAAGCTTTTTTTAACATTATGATAATATGCCTCACTTCAATAAACATGACAGAGTGATAGGGGGCAAACACTAAGCAGTACGCAATCTGTTATGACAAGCGACGTTTTACTAAATCAATTTGACAACGTTCTTATGATCCCATCTTGCTACCCATGAAGAGTAGTTAAAGAGTCTTTCGTTCAACATATTAGCTGCTCTTCTACGGTATCTCCAACGTAGATCGTAAAGCGGAGTTTAATAATAACCCCCCCCTAATACTACAGCATTCACAATTGTAATTGCAATGGTCATTATGGAAAACCGGAACCTCTGTAATTTCTCGGTTAAGCCCCTTTTTGATAGTGCATTTGTCGTATTTACTCTTAGGAGACAACGCGTGGGTGGGAATTTTGAAATTAAGTTGATGCGTCGATATCGTATATATGTTCCATAGGGAGAATTAACTAATCAGCATATGATCTCGGATCAATCAAGCGAGCGGTTATGGATATAGAGTATCGTTAAACTGTTCTAATCACCAATCTAAGCAAGGCAAAGGCTGGATCTTGTGTGATTGTCACGTACGTAATAATGATGTTATATGTTACTGATCTCGCCAGAGGAATCAACCTAACATTAACTCCTATATTTTATCTCATCTAGTCGTGCAATCATTCCTCGAATACTCTTTTGACAGTCTGATATCAGAAGGTCGGTGCTCTGAAAACGTTCAATCGAAGACGTTCTAAAACCCAAGGACAATGATAAATTGATAAAGGGTTTAAAAAATTTACATTCATTAGTTATTGTTATGTAATGGCGCTTAGGATTTACAGCTTTTTTCAACGTTTACCGGTCGGACAGAGCAAACTCTTACAGTACAAATGTAACTGAGATTTTTTAATGCTGGTGATTATTCAATTAGCACAACCTCCAAGGAGCTTTGCATATTATCTTGATGTTTATTTCCTGTCATTCAGTCTACATCTGAAAATAGATAACGTAAGCATCCATTTTCCTTTCGAATTGTAATCTACCCGGCTGTATTTCATCCGACACAATCCGAACCGCCTACACACACTCTTCGCCTCCACGCTGATATTGAACGTAAACTCATTTCATATCTTGACAAATCCCGGTCCTAGGATTCAATTTTCATTGTCAGATCAACGTTTAAGGTTTTCACATGATTGTGCCGGGATTGTTGAGGCAAGTGTAAGCTGCGAACATTACTATTATAGAGATTACGTACTGTGATATGTTTTCACGAGCACAAACAATATCAAGAATCTTTAACTTAGATGACTATGAATCATATTCACTCACATTCTTGCTTTGCTAAGAAGATCATTCCTCCAGACAGTACCGAATATCATCCACATATTCCGATATGCAAGCTGACGCATTGTCATCGTCAGTCACATCATGGCGAGAGCTTATTGTTGGATACTATATATGTCGTATATATCGGAATCTTTGACAGAGTTATTAAGACTTTCTCGTGTGCAGAATTTGCCCACCAAGCATCAAGATGGCCATAACCGTCAACCGCGTATCTGTCATAATTATCCTTATCATTAATCCTCGAACGATTTCTATGTCTATGTTATATAGAATTGAAAGTTATCAATACAATTAAAGTGATTACAAGACTATTGGAAAGACAACTCATTAACAATACTACAAAACTGCATGCTTACAACTACGTTCCGCCTTCCACTAATAAAAGCAATTGGGAATTCAAATTTGACCGAATATTCTCTTCTGTTACATAAACATTTCGTCCTTTATCATCCACAAGTTTCCCAGCATTCAACATCTTCTTCAAATGGGGGATGGCCGTAAGATTTACCATTCCAAAGAATTCATCTTGATTATTGTGAATCGCTTCGCTAATATTCTCATGTCTGCACAATAATCCAAAGCATAACGATGCGCTATGGCATAGAGCACCTCTACAACAGTGACCTTGGCCAACAGGATAGAACTGGAGAATGAAGTATAGGAGCTTGTTCAACCAATCTGTACCACGGGTTGTGCGGACATCAGAGTATGCCGAAGGATATTTTCATAAAGCCAACCAAACGAATAATAGCTTTTGATTCTATTAATTAGACCTGGGATGGTGTGCATTCCCTTTGACGAGGTTAGAAGAATGTGTCTTGAGTTATTCCGATCACGTGAACAAATGGATCAGTCGCGTAGTTAGAAAGCAGAACACTCACCACTTGAGAAGAAATCAAAGACCCGACACCTGTAATCTCCAGTTCAACAATTACAATCCCATAAAGACAATCATCGATCCAACACAATGAAAAATAACACCAATTTTCTTGACTTTGCAGACTTCGTCGATCACAGCTGCAACGTCATAGACCATCTGGTCAAGAGTAGACTGGCTGTGGGAGGTTTTGGTTATTGGCGACTTCCTATAATCAACTAGCCAGGCATCATAGCCTTGTCCAATAAAAAGTCAACAACGGTGTGTAAGAGGAGATCTGTTGACCACGTTTCATTCGTCATTGCTGCTCCGTGGACCTGAAAAGAGAATAAACGATGACTGGTAAATGTAAAGGAATGTTTGAGAAATATGGGCGCTGCTTCACTTCAACATACCAACAACACAGGCTCCAAGTGCTCTCTCCCCCGTAACTTAACTGGTTCTCAACCCCAATCTTTAGCTGTAATAATGTAAAGCTCTTCATCTCTAACCCACAAGCCGTAGGGCTTCCCCAAATTATATTCTGCAATAAGATCACCCGCGTATTCGAGCGGCTGAAGTAATGTTCAAGAATTTCCGCCAAAGTAATGCCGATAACACTGTTAATCAATAACTATTTTAATCGCAAACAAATCCCAATAATAATAAAACACTCTTCCTCATACACCTTCCCTCCAAATACACTTACCCTCATAGTCGTCAATTGTTTTAGAAAATCTGACTTTGATATTCAAAACACCCCAACCAATAATGTCATCTTCATCCCAACTTGATATTTTCACGTACAACGTACTCGATTGCTCCAGGACTTAAGAAATTCCTGTTTGTAATTTTCTTATAACGATCAAGTAGTTAGCAAGCTCATTTTATATTCCACCCGAGACGTGTCTCCGTCAGTCACTATCAGTGAATCTGATGAAATTGCACAACAATAGAGGGGTTCTGGCGATTGCGGCGTGGTTAACTCAAGCGTCGAGTAGTCGTAGGCGATTATAGTCCATCGAGAGGAATGGCATTCGTGATTGAGACGATTTGGCTTGACCTATTATAACAACAAAAGAGCTATTGTGAGTTTAATAATACATGTTGAAAACCGCATTTACGCAATCTTTCTCACTGCATCAGACCTTTGGATGTAACGCGAGCATCGCGTTTTGTAAAAACCACCCTTTCATCACTTCTGTAAACATCAATCCTGCTAGCTCCCACCTTACGAAAAGATTCAGTCGCTCTATTCCTCACCACGCTCTCATCCACTTCATGCACAACCAATGGCTTTTTGAATCAATTTTCCAACGTCTATCGTTTGCAGCGTGATAACAGATACCACAAACGTATAAGAGTCGTGATTTTCCAGTTTGTCCGCGTCTGTACCGGTAAAGACCTAAATGATGTCGGTGTTATTAGGATAGGCCCGCTTCAACACTTGTTCTGAACTTCGTCTTTCATAAATATCCGACTTGTCAGTCAATATTGTCTTACCTGTCCTTTATGATTTATAACCTTCTGGTTGCATCACGGCCCATAGCACAACCATCAACAGGATGCACAATTAGCATAGTTTGGTTCGTGATGACGGCACAAAAGTTCCATGAGAAAATCTCTCCAAGACTTTGTACAACTCCTGAACTTTGTCTATTATTCCAGCGTCTCTAAACAAAATTTTCAGCCTATCATCAACCAATTCAAATACCCTTGCTGGTGGTTGTAGTCCGTAATCAGAAAGACTTGGCGGTTTGCCAAAGACTCCATGAAGGAAGGAGATAAATCCGCGTCATATTCTCCGGAGTAATGTAACCGCAAGCGTTTTTACTTGAACCAATAGACTGGTGCTCTTCCTGGATTACGTAACCGTCCATTTGTCGATTCGGAAACCTTTTAGCCTATGCTTACGTGGAATATAAGATTGGTCTATTGAGTGTTGATTGTAACGATGAGACCATGAAAAATGTAAAGTTATATCTACCATTACGCAACAAGCCTGTATTGTAAGCCCAAGCGACACAACAATCTTCTCCAAACTACACGGCAAGTCGATGTTAAGCCAAGCGACAAATACCACAATGTTAGTTCTCCAAACCCATCGCGGTTAATCCACCCTTCTTTGTTGAAAGAGAGAGGGAGACACTCACATCACCGTTCTCGCAAAATCTCTTTCCCAAATTTCACTTGTATTTCGTTTGTGCCCAATGTCCCCGCAACAAGAAACACGATATCGGCAGTGATAAAGGGAAGCGAGATGGTACCGTCGATGCCAAGAGTGTAAAGTGCAACATTGCTCTTAATCTGAGACGACGCCTCATATTACCCAACTTAGTTTTTTCATACAAGTGCCAAAAAAGGAGTTCGTCATATCACAAGTGCCAATTTTTTGAATACACAGTTTTTTTCGCTTCTATTATAAATAAATCTCATCAAACTTTAACTTACGATTAACAAACAAGATGAGACCACGGGCATCCTCATCTCCCCCACAAGTGTCGGGCGAGCTTATCACTCGACGTAAAGAAATCTTCAAGCTATTTGATGATGCCGACATCTCTACATCACATATCAGAGTCTGCCTAGTGGCGAGCGCCGGTTTTTTTACCGATGGATATAGTCTATCACTATACACACACAATTTTGTGTTTCCGATATTAATTTATTCTTATGCTGATGCGTCTACTGAGAAATTTCGCATTATGATAAAAAGTTCTATTTGGGTTGGTTCACTATTTGGCCATTTACTGTTTGGGTATATGACCGACACATATGGACGGAAAAAGGTACATTTAATGAATAATATTAATATTTAGTATGGAAGATTGTTAACATGCATGCATGTGACTGTTTATATTTACCCACACCTGCAGATTTACCTGGTGATGTGATGCTGATAGTAATAGGGAAAGTGTATCATCAACATTTAGAGGATGGAATGTTGCACGAACAAGGGTAGGGATTTTACTCGATCATTTTGTGGGGCACTGGTAATTTATTCAGTTCGATTATGCCCGCCCTTACTGCCATCCATCTCAGCCCAAATGTGTGGTTAATGAGGTAATGGCACTTGTCCATAAATAGTGGGCTCGATGTATGGAAGTACTACATTTAGTAAGTCCAATAAATATTAAATAAGTGTTTTAGACTTGGATGTACTACTCTATCCGTGAATAAAACTTCCTCGCGATCTACTCTATCAGCACTATGCTATTCACACATGACTGTGTGCAATACTTTTCTTTTGTCCCTAGAACATACAAAGTGCGTGATCGACCAAATGAGTAGAAATTCAGGGAGAAGTACGTCACTGTTAAACGTGTGATCTCATTGTTGCGTTTACTTTACAATATCCAGCCAGGTAACTGCATGCAAGTGTGGGTAAATAAACAGTCACATGCATATTAAATAGCAATAGAAGCTATTGTATACAGTATATTGAAGTGATAAATGTAAACACGTGAACAGCGCAATCTTACTGAAATCTACTTATATATCTGCAAGATATGATTTGATTGTATGTTAATGTGTCAGCCGACGATGATGTGATTTTCGCTCTGTGGTACAAGCGATCTACGAACGCAGTAGCTGCGCAATCGATGAAAATGACAAGAGATTTGGATAAATCGAGCGAATAGTGTCACAACGTCACTTAATATGGCATTAAATTCTTGTCATTTAACGTTAACGTAGTACTTAATATTTCCTCATGTGGCTAAATTGGCAATATCACAGATAAATAGATTTGCGTAGATCCGTGTTTACATTCATCATTATACAATAAAACTAGTTATATAATAGCTTCTATTGCTATTTAATATGCATCGACTGTTTATTTACCCACACCTGCATACAGTTACCTGGATATTGTAAAGTAAACGCAACAATGACATCACACGTTTTGATAATGTACTGTAATCATTCGATCCTTCCGCATAAAATTTGCGAGGGACAAGCGATTACGAAGCAAAAGAGTTACGTCATGATTGTTGCGTTCATTCTGTTAATTTTTTAGAAATGCCTGTTGGGATGATGATATCAGCAGTTGTTATCCCTTTTTTTTTTTCAATTATTTACTTCTATTCATTTTTGAATAATGTTGTAAAAATTCCAATAAATAGATTTGCCAGAACTGATTGCTATAAATCGCACTCTTTAATACTGTCATCCAATTATTTGTGGCTTCCACGGTACCAATTGCTTCGAGCAAGCTCACCAAATACAAGTTCAACGTGTGACTCTTGGGAGAAGCAACCGTACAAATGTAGAGGCTTCCGCACAAACATCAAGATTATCGGCCATATCTGCGTCAAGTGTGTTTCTACACTCTTGGTGTTAATCTTTAGGACGAGCGCTAAGAATTCTAAAAG